TTCTTATCATCTATGAACTCAGTTTCCTCAGCAGGGCACATGGTTCTCAGAGAACCCTGCTCTACTTGCATGCAGCTAGCTTGGTCCTTGTCAGTAGTGTATAATGTTCGGATGAGTTGGAGGCTCATTCACCAGGATGATTAGAAAGTAAGTCAGAAGCTGCTGGTCCCCCGCCTGGGCAATTGTAAGCAGCATTTAAAACTAGTAGATAAGGAACTATTAAGAGGTAAGTGTGGGACAGTGAAGACACGTCTGGAGACTGGGCCTCGGGACTACACATGTGCCTCAGCCTGGCTGAGAGGTCAATAAACTTAATAATGGCATTGTCTTCATTCTGATTTGTCATTGTAGATATTCAGAGGTGGGTGAGGGGTATGCAGTAAGTCATATCACTTACATCCTGTTATCCTTGTAACTTTAGTGATTGCGCAAATTTAGACCCAGGAGTTGGACTGACACATGTAAATTGTGTATGAGAAGTGGGTACTTATGCCTTATTCTTTATTGTTCACTGTGTGGATACTTTACTGCAGAAACAAACTGCAGCTCACAAGACATGAAGAAGTACCCGTGTGCTGCCTGCCTATAGCAGGTTTGCATAACAGCATCATAATCCCAGGAGGACAACACCATGTACAGAGCTGTTGCAGAATTATTTGTTTACATTGTGTAAAGATGTGTCACTGTGACTAGTTTAATAACAAGCTGAATAGGCAATAGCTAGGCAGGAGAGAATCGACAGGATTTCTGGGGAGAGAGAGAAGAGGAAGAGGAATCTAGGCATGTAGATTATGCTAGTGATATACCAGGGAGACACTGAAGACATCAGACTTACAGTATAGAGTAGAGGTAACTGAGCCAGGTGGCAGAACATAGATCAATAAAAGCAAGTCAGTTAAAGTCATAAGAGCTAGTGGGACAAACCTAAGCTAATGATCAAGCTTTCATAATTAATAAGAAGTCTCCATGTCTGTATTTGTGGGCTGGCTCTCCACGGATAGTCTAACAAGAAAGCTTGCTTCACAGAGCAGCCCTGTGAGGCAACGCGATGCTGTCATATCTGGAAGGGAAGACTTAGGAAGGGCATCTCATGTAATAGAGTCATTTCTGTGACATCCAGCACCATTGCCATATTCTATCAGCTGAAACAAGGAACAAAGTCTGTTTATGAGGGGTTGACAGGATTGTGCCCAGCGTGACTGTTTTATTCAGTTATTGCATATTACAATACAAAATTCTTCAGCTTGGGCACTATTGTGTTATGGGTTTTGGGAAAATATCAGAAAATCTTTATTTCTATTTTTAATACGTGTGTGTGTGTGAGAGAGAGAGAGAGAGACAGAGAGAGAGACAGAGACAAAGACAGAGAGAGACAGAGAGAGAGACAGAGAGAAACAGAGACAGAGAGAGAGAGAGAGAGACAGAGAGAGAGAGAGAGACAGAGAGAGAGCGCGCACTCGTGTGCCACAGCACACATCTAGAAGTCAGGGATAGCTTGCAGAAGTCAGGTATTTCCACCATGATGGTCCCATAGATTGGGAATCAGGTTGTCAGACTTGGTATCAGGTGCCTTTGCTCACTCACCCGAGCCATCTCGCCAGCCCCAATTTTATTTTTTTGAGACAAGGTCTTTCTTGTCTGGAATTCCAGACCACCCTGAGCTATTTACAAGAGCCTGTTTTAATAAAACAAAAGCAAACAACCCCCCCCAAAACTTACATCTAACAAATTATGTGGGATCCAAATTTGTTTTTTGCACCATAGCATTCTCTTGTCTGTAACAGGAATTTAATAATTCCAGGGCTGCTCATCTGGGTCAGAGTCCACTCTTGTATAACATTGAATATCTCCATAGAAGAAGCCCATAGTGTCTAGCCAGCCACCGTCAAATTGCTGCTGTGTCCCTGTAGTATGTGTGAGTCCACACCTGGACACGGCAAGTGCTCTGGGTTGAGTGGCACACACCAGAAGCATAAAACACTGTGCTCTCATGCAGCCTGGTATGCTCCAGTGATAGGTGGTCTTATGGGGTATTTTAGGTTACATATCCACACATATCACTGGAAAGGAAATGATGTGTGCTCTGGTTTATAGTAAATCAAGAGAAATGATTGGTTCCATTATTCAACATTTATCTCTGCACAAGTCTTCATCCGAGTTCAAAGGGGACAATAGTAAATAACATAATGCCCCTTTGTTCCTAGAAGGTTGTGGAGTCAGAGAAGAAGGATGAATAAGGGTCCCTTAGCCTCCACTCTGTAAGTTCTACTGCAGGTTGCAGTGACCATGCTTTCCCTGCCCAGTTTCACCAGCAGGTGGGATCCTGGGTCATCTAACCCACAATAAGAGAGTCATTTTGGGCTGGTGTGAGCTGTGTAGCTGGCTCTGCAATACTGTTTGTGCTGTGTGTTTTGAAAACAATGAGGGAAGGTGAGAACTAAGCTCTCTGATACATACCTCTTCAGAAGAAAATGTAACGGGAGAAATGATGCAGCCTCACTCCAGAAAGAACACGTCTTTCATTTCTTTCAGATGAAAGAGGGCAATAGAAACAAGAACCTAATGTTAGGTTGAATTAGCAGGAATCTGGTAATTGTGTTCAAACAGCAGTGGAATTGCAGGGCTTCTCCCGAGCTCCTGCACCTCTGATGAAAGGGGTCAGGTAAAGAAAGGGCTTAGGACCAAACTCAAGGCTGTAATTAGGGAGTGAGACAGCAATACAGCTGACTCCGCAGTGCTGGCGGCCGTCCCCGTGCTCCTGATGTCTCTCTCTCCTGTTCTGAAAGGTCTTGTTTTTGTTGTGAGGGTTATATAGCACTCACCTGAGTTGAAAACTAAGGCACCTGGAAATTTCTTAGCTCAGTCAAGTTGTTGTTGAAGTATGTCTGCTCTCCAGCTAGAACAAAACAGTACTCATAGCAGGAGTCTACACTGTACCTATCCTGCCATCACTGTGAAGCTGGTTCTGCAGGTCACCAAGAAGACAAAGACAAGCCCCTTGGCTCCTGTGCTGCTGATTCTCGAGATGTTGGATCTGTTTCCTGGTGAAGTGTTAACAGTGAAGCAGCAAGCCATGGTCTGCCCGAAGTCTCATCAGAGCCAAATGGCCCTCTGAGAAGCTCCCAGGCGTAGACTGATTCCAACATACCATAAGAGCATGAAGACTCCCCCTCCAAATAAGGCAGATGATGCAGAACTCTGTGTGCATTTTAAATGAACTCCAGGGGACCACCCTTTTGGCAGATTGCAGCTAGTCAAAGTTAGCTGTACTATAATTTGACCACAGATGGTCATGGGCAACTTGGCTTGCTTTTAAAAACCACTGTGGGGCCCAGAAAGATATGGTAGTCAGTAAAGTACTGCATGAGTGTGAGGAGGTATCCCACATAAAAAGCTCTCTTGGCAGTACATGTCTGCTGTTCCAGTGATGTCTACTTAGCAAACCCTAGGCCAGGGAGAGACTCTGTCTCAAAAAGTCAGGTGGCAAGCAACTGCAAAAGACACTTGATGTTGACTATTACACACACACACACACACACACCACCTTATCTGAACAAGGCCCATAGTCAGCCCCCCCCCCATTTGCCTCCCTGCTGCAAGGGGCTTAGGTGACAGAAGACTGAGAGGCTGCATTTCTAGTGCTTTTCCCAGCAGCCTCTGGCAGTCTCCCTTCAGAGTGGTTGTCCTTGTTGCATGCTGCCATAAGAACTGCACCTGTGCATGGGGGAAGAAGCAGGATAGAATCATGGATCTCAGCTGCATAGAGAGAACTGGAATGTGGTACTCTGAGAAAAAACATGGGTTACGAATCCAAGGCAGCATGACACTGCAGCCTCTCAGAATGTAGAAGAAAACTGAGTCCTGCCTATCCCAAGCCCCAGCTTGTCTGCTAGCTCTGAACAGTAGGAAGCAGCCAGCTGGTTTATTCTGCACACAGTTGTCACTGTGGGATGTGTATAGCAGGAGATCCCGTAATTCTATACTCCTTCCCCTCCGACTCTGTGCCTTTTAACTTTGCATGAAATGATACCGGGTACCATAAAGTGACATAATAAAAATACAGGAGCATTCAGCCTTAGGAAAACCTCCATCAGAAATGAGGCACACAGCAAACAGTGGCTGCCGAGTCAGGTGATCAAGAAAACATCAGCTGATCACATTGTCTTTTTTCTGGGTCATCATATGAAATAAACTGTAATGAGTAATTAAACTCAATGAAAAGAAATTAACCAGAAGAATTTAACCAAAATTAAAACATATTTTTGTGTGCTAAAGTTTGTGTTCACCTGAGGCCAAGTTGTTCTCAAGTATGCATTCATCACTTAGGCTGTCAGAACAAGGGCTCCCAGACTGGGTCACCTAAACAACAGAAATGTCTTGGCTGAAGGCCAGGGTGACAGCTTATCTTCTTCTGAGGCCATGCCCCTGGGCTGCAAATGGACCCTTCCTTGTCCTCAGGACCTTCTCTCTGTGTGTATGTCTTAGGGTCTTTGTCCAAATGTCCTTTTCTGAGGACACCAGCTTCGTTTTGATTTCTTCACCTCTTTAAGGGACCAGTCTCCAAATTTAGCCACATTTTGGGCTGGAGAAAATAGCTTAGTGGCTAAGAGAACATGTTCTTGCAGAGAACTCAGGTTTGATTCCCGGCACTTCATGGTAGCTCACAGCCATCTGTAGCTCCAGCTCCAGGGGACCTCTAACTCTCTTCAACCTCCGTGGGCACCAGGCACGGATGTGGTGCACATACATGCAGGCAAAACACACGTACAGTTAAGTAAATATAAAAAATTCAAGTGCAACGACATTCTGAGGTATTGCATTATAATTTCTGTTTATTCACACACAACTGAGGGAGACACGGAATAGTCTACAGATCTGACAATATTGATATTGTGAGAGACATACCTCTTTGGAGTGAGATTTAAACTGTGACATAAGCTTTGTGTGTATGCTGCATTGTGTCCTAAGATGCTGTCTCAGGCTGGTTTCTGTTTTGGCAGGCCTGGCAGCTGCGGTTCAGCCATCTCGTGGGATATGGTGCCAAATATTACTCATACCTGATGTCCAGAGCTGTCGCGTCCATGGTCTGGAAGGAGTGCTTCCTGCAGGATCCTTTTAACAGGTAACAAGGGTAGGGTGGAGGCAGTTTATGAATATCTGTTGTCCTCCTCCCTGCCATAATCCATAGGGTACAACATACACACTGCATCCAATATGAGCTGTTTAGAACTTTGTGGTCCTGGCAGTGTGTGGGGACACTGTGACCTATCTCTTACTAGGCCTCTACCTCCAATGCACCCTTCTGCCTCCTGGTGTGACCATGAAGTTACCCTCACTGTACAGCTCTGTGGCCTTCTGTGGGACCTGCATGGTATCCTGGGATGTAGAGGGGACCTTATGTGAGGCCTCCCGGTGTCTGCCCAGAGCAGTCCTGGACTGCCTTCCATAAGGACAGGGCTTCCTGGTGCTTTCCCAGGCTTTCTTGCCGAAGCCTGGGTAACTGGAGTTCCAAGTCTAGGGACACCATTATTCCTCTCTCCTGCCCACTGCAAGACTTGTCTTTCTTCCTCGCCTGGGGCAGCTTGGCCTGTGCCATTAACACCCAGTTTGCTTCTGGAAGTGGACTTTCTTCCTGCTTCTTTCTCTGGCGATAATTGCCCATACAGAAAATGGGCTGTCCCAAGGAGGGGCCTGTTTTCCTGTTCATCTTGATTCAGGCCCTTTCCCGGTGGCCACTCACTGCCCCTTGAGCAGCATAGGTACCTGCTGTCCGGCCTCTGAGGGCCACTGTGAAGCCTTGCCCCCATGTGTCCCTCATTAGGATGACCAGTGGTTTAGACTAGCATTTATCATTGGGATAGAATTTTCAAGACATGACTTTCTAGGCCACTCTAGGGAGCACAATATCAGTTAAATAGATTAGCAACAAATGTACCCCTTGTAGTGACTGTTCAAAAGTGGGGGACATCAAGTTCACTCCTTCCCAGAACACAGCCAGAGCTGGCCATAGGGTGCTCAGGGGAGGGTCAGTGGCCTGTCTTCTAGCCATGGTCTAGAAGGTGTGGACCTTGCACAGGTCAAGAAGAACAGAGCATCTTATGTTGTGTCCCTCCTTGAGTTCCTCCTGGTGTCCTCACAGGACCTTATAGCAGTAGGAGCCCAGAGAACCTGTGGCCAGGATTCCTTAGAAGGAGCTTCCTTTGGAAGCAAACCAGTAATTACAGCCTGATGTCATCGTCGCTTAGAGCACTGTATCTCCTCACCACCCAAGTGAGATATCTCTAACACTCTCAGGCAGTTCCAGGAGATGGCTATCGGCTCTGCACTCTGTTCAGTCTCTAAACTCCCCGTAGCCTTCCAGCAGCTAGGCAGAGCTGACTTTCCCTGCGAGTGCACTGGGGCTCACAAGATGGGTGACAGCTAGCAGAGGGACCAAGAGGATTCTGTAGGTCCCCTGCCCACCTCCTTGTCCCCACACGATCCCTGTACACCTCAGCTTTTCCTGCTGCTTCACAGATTCAGATCATCTCAGAACTTAATAATCACATTCATTCTAGAATCTTTTCAACTTGGATCTGATGTCCTAGAGTTTCTGCTGTTTTTTATAACTTGGTACCCACATTTTACATTGTCTCCTGCCCTTTGCATACTGCAGACACTTGACTTGCTTTGCAGACTTTACGTTTTCCAAAGGGTCCACAGCCAACTTGACTACAGTAAATCATGGATGGTAGCTCTTTACTGAAGATTTCTATAAAATGAAAAAAATACCATCTTGTTTGAAGAAACTATACTTTAATAGAAAACCACATGCTAATAAAAACATATCTGCAAATATTTCTCTGTTGGTTAAATGTGAATTCTTGCCTAGACACGTAGCTGCTATACTTTTATGATCATGTAAAAGTGAGCTCGTAAAAGTACTCTCTGGACTAGGAAATTCCTAAACTCTGTCAAAGAGTCCCTTTTTTCTTTCCCTTGTTGTGTTTGGTTTGGGTGTTTTGTTTTGTTTTGTTTGAGGCAGTTGGCACAGGCTGCCCTGGACTCATGATTCTCCCTCCTCAGTCTCCAGAGTTAAGTCTGCACCAAAGAACCCTTCTAACCAAGAGCCAGACTCGGGGGCTCCTTGGGGCACAGGACTCCAGAGCAGAGGCATGCCAGGGGAAGGCACCGAGGAGGGCTTTGTTTGAGAGAAGGGTGCTATCTCCATGGGCAAAAGGAGGGATACTACGTCCTCCTCCACACCAGGCCAGAGGTTAGCGGAAGCCTCTTCACACTTTGCTCTGAGAAGGCCCTGCCTCCGTGTGAGTTTCCTGTGTTGCCTTACTGTTCACATTAAGATACTGACCATGATCATGTTTTATTCATGATGTAATGCTGCCTAGAATCCAGCACCCAAGTGAAAAACCAAATGTAATGACATAGGCTTGCAGTCCTAGTACCAGGAAGGTACAAATAGGTATATCCCAGAGCTCACTAGCCAGCCAGCCTAGCTGAATCAGTGAGCTCTAGAGTCAGTGAGAGAGATTCAAAAGTTAGGTGGAGAGTCATTGAGGAGTCACCTGAGGGTAACCTCTACCTCCACATGCTAACACACTTGCACATGCCAACTATATGCGTATGTGCTTCAGGAGCGTACACCACACGCACAGTTAGAGACAGAATTACCTATTAAATTAAAAAATACTCCAGAGCAAGTAGAATAAAAATAATATCAGGGCTGGGTAGCTCAGTGGTAGAACACTCACTTAGCGTGTACAAGGCCCTGGGTTCAGTTGCTAGTACTATGCCAAAAAAGTTACCTAATCTCATTAAACTGTGTGGTTGGTTGTGTTAAAAGGACTATAGTTGCATAAAATGTAAAAACACTAAATACTTTATTTTTAAGTACAAAATGTCCCCAGAGCTTAAGACATGGATAGAGTCACAGAGACTGTGTGCACAGGTGTGGATAACAGAATCTCTTCCCCAGGGCCGCCGGGGAGCGCTACCGCAGAGAGATGTTAGCCCATGGTGGGGGCAAGGAGCCCATGCTCATGGTTCAAGGTAAAGTACAGCCCACTCTGCCACCTCTTCTGGGACTGAGGGTTTGTTTTCATTTTCATGGGTTATGTGATGGTAATTCTCTAATAGAAAATAGTTAACTGACCAGAAGTCCCAGGAAATGTGCCATTAGCTCTGAACAGGTCACAGTGGAGGGTTTGTTTTTGTTTGGGTTTTGCTGTTGTTTTAATCTAAAGAATTCATATATTTATTCCCTTTTTTTTCCTTCTGAGAAATCCAAAGCTTAAGGTTAGAGATTCAATCTATTTTAAAATTAAAACCTAATTAAAGAATCTTTTAAAAATTTTTATTGACTATTTGGGAATTTCACATCATGCATCCAATCCCACTCACCTCCCAGTCTCCTCCTTTCCCCTGTGACCCCCCCAAATTAAAACAAGTCCATTTTCTGTGGCTCATATGTTCACTGGAGCGTGGTTAAATTCCTAGTGGCCAGCCTCCCAAGAGAGGATGAGTCTTTTTCCACCTACATCTATGCCAGCATCCATCAGCTGATGAGAATCCTGGAGTGGCCAGAACAGTACAGGGCCAGCTCTCCCATGCCAAGGCCACTGCCTGCACTGTAGTGATGTGGACCACCAAAGGGAAGGACCAGCTCTCCTGAGCCCATGGACATCAACATGGATTCAGGCAGCAGCTCCAAACACAGACAGCTGCAAGGGCTTGGTGATAGATAACATGTGCCACAGACATCAACATGGTCCTTGACTGTGGCCCTCAGTGGACGCATGGATCACAAGCCTCAATATGGCCTTATGTGGTTGCATATGCCACTTACATCAAGCATGGCTCCCCAAGGCAGCAAAGCCTGAGGACATCACCAATGTTAGTGTTCATCGCAGTCTTGGGTGGCAGCATGAACCACCAACGCCAACATGGCCTCTGGTAGTATCTTAGGCCACAGTGGTCCTTCAAGGAGGATGGTGGCTGAGTTTGTATCTGCATAAGCTCCAGGCTATTGTGCACCATCCTGGGAACCCACTCCGTTTTTCTCTTTCCCACCTCTGACCATCACCTATTTGTTCATTGTAGTGGCACTGGGAATGTCTTCTGGCTACCTGGAGCCACATAGCCCCAGGAGGTGTAAAGAGTCTTTTTATAGTACCAAAATTAATTCTTGTTTTCCCATATAATTGACAAATGTTAATTTATGGAAATTTTAATTGTAAATGGAAGTGACTGTCATGAATTTTCATGAAATGTTTTCACAAATATTTATAGGGAGATGTGCTTCTTATTGGATGCTCTCAGTATATTGACAGTTATAGCTAAGCTTTTGATTGTCTAATGAAATCACCCTAGGAAGTGATTTCCAGTATTTGGGGAGTACTGTCGTATTGTCCCGGAAGTAACTGATACTTGCCTTTGATTTTCCCCATGCTCGTCAGATGTGTGAGGAGTAGTGTGCACTGGGCCTGCTCGTAAGCTCCAGGGGTAGAGGAGTGAAAGATGCCAAAGCAGACACTACTCCGTTGTTAGTTTGTGTTCATTGATCAGCCTGCCTGGATTGGTTGGTAGTTGAGATACTGGTCCAGGCTCCCTTTGTTCGGTGCTTGATGATGTTACAGTGTTGTGCACCAGTGAATAACTCCAAACTGCCTGCTTTCAATGAAGACCATATGCTAATCTTGCCTCAGTGTCCTCCTTGCTCCCTCTTGGCCCTTCTTGATCTGTGCTATATCTAGAACTGTTTGTGTGTGATTTTTTTTTCCTTTCAATAGAATCTGGCTATGTTGCCCTGACTCTTAAATGGAGCAGCCCTTCTCCTTCAGCCTTCCAAATGGCTGGTACTGTAGGCATGCACTACCACATGCCTGGCTAGACTGTTTTAAAGGGGGCTTACATGGTAATTTAATCTCCTTAGGAATCTGTTGAGGCGTGAACTGTCATCATCTCCATTTTATAAATGATGAAGCAGCCAGACCCCTTGCTCCTGTTGGGAGTAGTGAACAGAAGAGCCAGGATTCAAGTCTGGTCCTGTAGCAAAGACCAAGCTTTTCCGGAGTCTGAGAAACAGGCTCCAGGCAGAAGGGAAATGAATTGTCTCTGATAGTGGACTGTGGATTGCATACCGGTAGTGCATGTCCCATGTAATATCGTGGTGATGGTCTGTGCTGTGTGTGACATTAGTGCTTCCCTAGTTCTCAGTGCTGTTCTCTCATGAGTAGTAATTCCCATGCTGTTCAGCACAAGTCAAACCGTCATTGTGTTCGTGGTTCTCTGGACTGCTCTGATTTTCCACTCTTCCCCTGACCATGGTGCACCCTCCCTGTGCTTTATCTGAAGCATTTTTGAGCTAAAAGAAAAAACAAAAAACCTATATTTTTTTTTAACTCAAATTCCCATAAGAGAAAATCAAGTTGATGATTTGGACTAGAGCTGCAGCATTTAGATTCCAGTTATCACCAACAGTAGATCTACTCTGCTTGTACACTATTTTATAATTCTTTTCATGTTTTCCCATCACATACTACTATTGATTCATAAGATATATCACATGAATGGGGAGGCGTCTGCAGAGAGGTGACAGCATCTGTTGTCACTTGAGTTGAATTTATAAAACAGGACTCTCAATGGCCAATCACTTGTATGCTACCAGCCTGTACCCAGAACCAGGATGTCTTCAGGGCACCCCTGGGCTTAACTGGTAGGTTGCTGAGCTTCGTGATATGCAAGTGAAGCACTTGGTGGAGACCATCTTCTTTCTCCCGCGGGCTCCCCTCCCACCCTCCCCCAAGAATGCAGTGGGTAGATACCCAGAGCACAAATGGGAGATGCTTTCATATCGAGTCTGTCCCAGAGCACAAATGGGAGATGCTTTCATATCGAGCCGGTCCTGACCCACAAGCTCTGCATGGGACAAGACAGAACAGATTACCAGGTGGGGTTTCAATGAAATGTTTGAACTCTCAGTCGCAGGGGTATGCTAGATAAGAGAAGCTCTGAGAACTGTTAAAGCTCAAAAGCTTTTTTGGGGTGTGGTGGGGCTTCTGGGTGCCAGTGGTGAGCAGTCCCTTTGCAGAGAAAGTCTGCATTTCACCTTCAGAAGTAGCAGGAGCCGCTGGTCTCCTGACTCCAGCAGGCCTTGACTCTAGAAGTAACTGCAGGGACAAATCCCCTCTGCCTGCAGTCACTGGTCCTATCCTGGAGGCAGTCTCTCTAGCTCCTTCCCTGGGGCAGAAGCCTCAGGTATGAGGAAACTCTGGGGGAGTCTTTGCTCTCTGGTGAGGGAGCTGGACTCTGAAACCTTGTCACTTGACCCCCACTACTGCTGTGGTTTTCCAGCTTCAGACAGCCCACATTTCTACAGCTAGCTGCTAAGGTGGGCCCTGCCTGGCTGAACATGTGTATGCAAATAAGATGAAGAAATAGGACCAGTCAGGAGAGCTGTCAAGCCTGGTGGCTGGAGGAGAATCCTCAGTCTGCCAAAATTTGCCAGAATGCTGTAGTCAGGTCCACAGGCCTTTGCAGAAGTGGGGAAGGTCGTGAAGACTTGGTGACTGCCCCTGGCTGCTACAGCACATTCTACAGGCTGCAGTCTGCTTCCCTACTGGGTTTCAGCTGGGTCCTGCTCTGATTGGGGGTGGTGGGCGGGGTTTTTATTTGCTTGCTTCAGCTGTGGCTACAGTAAGGGTTTTCAGTAGCTGAGCCTGCTCTATGTGACTCCTTTGCCCTCAAGGCTTGAGCTTACCAGCTGTAACAAAGCTGGGGGGACCACTTACCTCCCCAAAGCATGTTTGATCTAGTTGACTTTACTTACTTCATGGGTGTCTTATGTATTTAACTGTTTCTAAATATGGAGAATTAAATAGCAGAAGATAAATAGCATGCCTGCCTCTGGACTCTGGACTTCTTTGACCAAACCTGGCCCTTATTTGCTACCCCAAGGAAAGAATGGGTTTCAGGTGTACCCCTGCATCATTTCTCAAGGCCTCGTGCCTCTTCACGGCACTCAAAGACCCTGAGAGGGGTGCTTTAGAGAGTCAGGGAAGGCTTTGAGTTCCTCAGGAATAAACACTGCCCTTAAAAAGCAGATGCCCCCGATCCTTGCGTCTTCCACAGTGAGCCATCTGTTTAACCACCTAGTCCCTCTGGCATTTGCAGTCTCTGGAGACACACAGGCCTCAGTGGCCTGCATCCCACCTAAGGGAGCCCAGAGAGTCCACAGGCCTGTCTTTACTGTCGCGTTTGCCCCAGCTCATCAGTGAAAGCGTACTGCTAGGCAGTCATGCCTCTGCCACTCCAGATGCCAGCGTCGGCACATCACCAGTGGCTGTCACAGGAGATAGCAGCCTGTTCTGAGGTGGGGCCTTTCCCCTCAGTGATGATGCACCATGGGGAAAACAATATCCCCCTCACTGGAGAAGTGAGCCAGAACAGAATTGAATTTTCAGTTTCTAGGTCTGCCACTGTTTCTTGGCAAAATCAGTCTCCCTCAGTGAGATAAAATGAAGTGTGACTTGAAGGTGCCCTCCTTCTGCTGTCTGGTGTGTGTGTGTGTGTGTGTGTGTGTGTGTGTGTGTGTGTGTGTCAGAGCTTCACAGACAGTTCAGCTGGATAGATTTGTGAATGCATTCATAGATCACATAAAAGTGTCACAAGTACCTTGCTTAATGATGAAGCTCCCCAGCTGAACATGGTGTGGCAAAGCTTTTCTGAAATCCATTTTCTGGTCACCACTCTAGGTAAGGCCACACCCCCTCTGTGTAGTGTGAGTGAAGGTTCTGACTGTGCCTCCTATACCCTGTTGAGTTTCTGTGTTTTATTTAATGTCAGATTTCCAAGTCTTTTGCCTAAGCTAAAACACAAAGATACGGCATTTTCATTCATCTTGCTGTTCTCTAAGAGCCCTGAGCTGGTGAGTATCCAGCCAGGACTAGTCTACCCTTCCTTAGAAGCCCAACTGTTTCCCAGCAGCAAGAAACATGAGGTGGAGACTGTGTCAGCAGTTTGTGAGTGACAGGTGAACCCCTTGTGCAAGC